ATTCCAATCGCAACAGGGGAGAGGAAATTGGCACTGACGGGGTGCACAAACAAAAAGCAAGCCTTTTGTTGCATTTGCATAAACGAGACGTCGGATTTTCGGCTGGAGCAGGGAAATCTCTGAAGAGTTTTCCATTTTAAGGCTTCATAACATGTGTCACTTAGATCTATCAACGTTAAATCTTCGGCTATTTGATATGCAGGTACGAATATAAAAATGTAGTCATTGAGTAGAGAGTCAGCAGCCATTTTTTCTAGTGTAACAATGGTTACTGTATCTTTACTGAGTCAACCTTTATTTTCTTACCTGCATACCAGATAACTGTGCAGATACAATGTATCTAGGGGAACATCGTAACTGATTCTTGTAGTCACTGTTTAAAATTTGTTCTACACATTGACCAGAGGAATCTTTGTTGATAGTAAAAGTAAAACTTCACTCGATTCTACAATGAGCAATATTGAAAAATTTACCTTATTCCCATTTGTTTGTTCAATGAAATTACAATGATTATAATTTTTGCGTTATGTATGAGTCATTTTACTACATTTCCTTAAAATTTTGCCTTAACATGCAATTAGTAGTAAACGTTGATGATTAATTACCGTTTCACACGTTTGACAGCCATTTAGAATACTAATAAGTTTCGCTTGAAAGAGTGATCGGCTAAATGGTCGGTCAGCACTCACACATGCATAGGTCGTCTATAATCTACGTCAATTACCACTTAAATGATTGAGGCTTCTTCCTAGTAGCGCGACAATATTGATATAAGTACCTGAGTCGGCCATTCGTCTTCGTTTGATAGACAGTCGCCCTTAATGTGGTACCACTAATGATCGGCCTAAATGATTTAATTACTAATTACGTTTATTTGCCATTAATGACGTACTACCTGGGTCACAGATACGGTAGTAAAAGTTTCTTTTGCGTTATATTTTAAAACCGATCAAGCATTGTTCTTAATTTTCTTCCGCTGAGAATTTGTATACACACGATATGTCTAATCTTTAGTAAATAATGTGATTTCTATGATAAATAATAAAAAATTCTTGGGATTTCTGTTGTTAGCTATAAAAAAATCGGTTAAATAGGTTAATGACTTATTTCAACGGTTTTATCGTAAATCTATGAGTAATTTTATCACCTATGCATGTCGTCTCGTGATAATACAGTCTGTCGAGTGAATTGATATAAAAATATATTTATAGACAGTTCCTAACCTACAAATTGATGTTAATACAAAGGCAGTTTGTTCATTTATATGATAATATCTTTAGCATCAATATTGGTGGTGTACACATCGGTTATGGCAAGTACATTAGCCCACTTATAACCGAAACAAAGCGTCTCTTTATTGATAAAGTCTGTTTAATTATTTGCACGAACACAGCATGCTTTTCCGGGGAACGAATATATCATTGTTGAATTGTATTTGATATGTATATTAAGTATATAATATACCTACATTTAATACGTTGTATGTTTACCCATAACGTTATCAGTCTGAATACAGATTTGTTATTTTATTATAAGAAAGTTGATTTTGTTTATCGCGGCGAAGCGGTGCAAACTGCTGACTAATTGCTGTGATTGCGAAGCCTTCCATAATCCTTCGGCGATAAGCTGGCGAGACTGAAGGACTTTAGTATGCGGAACAAAGTCGTGTGAACATTATCTGGATGCTCGCAAAGTCCGTTGCCAACTAAGAAATGAGAGATAGCAATAATGGTTGTACAGTACACACAAATTCGACATTTGTTTCGTGCTTACGTAACGTTTAATTTCATCAGTGCACGGTACGCTAGTACATGTTCCACTCTCGGCAGCAACAACTGGTTCATTATTAACAGCATCCTGCGATACTCGGCTATATCTGAATGGACCTTCACTCGTTGAACTAAGTACTATGTACAACCTTCTTATATGTTCAATGTTCAAGTCATAAAAGTACAAATAATTATATTAAAGTGACAGACAGTAAAGAGTTTTAATAAAGAGTTTATGGTCAATGAAAATAATAATGGAAGGATGTAAGATCAATGAACCTCTTAAGAGGATGGACTAGTATTAAAAAACAAGTCATAGCGAACACGTTGTGTTTTTTTTTTTTTGTTAATAAGAAGTTTTAAGCTCTATTAAAAGGGTATGACTGAACTCAATAGCGGCGTTTTGTTACACATCAAACTAGTGTTTCTTTATATAATCTTTTGTTAAATTCTACTTACTGGTGCATAGATAATCTTAAAAGCAGGTAACGAAAATAGACGATATTTTGCTCAAACTTAAGGAATATCACCATTGTAGTTCGAGTATTGTAAAGTTCTCTTAACAATTTAATTGAATAGTTTTCGTAAAACTGCCCTCAGTATGCCCTTTGTTGAAAGCCTTTAAACGAAAGGATCATTAACAATTCAATCTTTGAAATGAGACTCAATTTATTTGCCATGCCAATCAGAAAGAGGTATCTAATATAATGAAAAATAACATAAGTGCTGTGTTTTGGTAGTATAATGAGAAAAACATCTGAACATAGCACCTTATGACGTTATGCTTCGGCACTGACCTAATCGGAGCAAATCACAATGTCATTATACGTCACTTTTTGCATCATACTGTATTTCTGTAGCGCGAATAGATATGATTCACGATATTATAAAACAACAGCTAAACAATTATTTATAATTGTTGATTTATGTCACCTATAATTCAGCGGGTGCAAGCGCCATAATGTGCCACGGGCTCGAAGCACGTGAAGGAACGTGGTATTTTTTAATCAGTTAAGAGTCTGACACTCCCCTCTCGCCTAGGGTATGGCGAGAAGGGGCGCCGGACTCTTACTAACTAAAACTTGGTAGGTGTTAGTCAGTAGGAGTCTGAGTCTCCCACGTTCCTTCTCCTGCTTCAGGCCGAGGCCGGGGTACTTACGACTTATGCTTGCCTCGTTAAACTATAATAAAACCTCGTTCGATTTTAAATAGTCCTTCTAATAAATCTTTTTTACTTGTGTAGAAGTAAGTAGGTATCATTTTTATTTAAAACTAGCTAACCTCGCGCTGTTTCATCCGCTGCTCGTCTGCATTTGATCGTAGCGTGATGATTTATAGCCTATAGCACTCAGAAACATTGTAGCTATCTATCAGTGAAATAATTTTGGCAATCCGACCCGCGGTTCCAAATATAACCACCTACATACAAAGTTCTAAACTTAAAAATTTTACCTCTTCTTCTTATAAGTATATATAAAAACACGTGTGAATAATAACTAAGAAATAATATCCCCGTTGTTAACTTACAATTTATTTTTACACGACCCAAGTGACCTGCTATGGGTGATTGGAGATCTTACATAAGTATTAGCATAATATGTTTGTGTTGTTTAAGAATAACTTAGATATATTCAAGTCTATTTATGCTATTGTAAGAAATACACTGATACATAGTGTGCGTGTGTGTGTTTGTGCGTGTGTCATAGTATTATTATGCTTTGGTTCATAAGAATAATAAATAGTTTCTGAGAGCTACTTCGGCCGCAGTAAAAGGGTAAAAAGTAGGCTATGTGTTATCTATCTTTGTGCCAAATACAATTCAGATCTGTTTATAATCAGCCCTCAATTGATCCATACTTTTACACTTTCGCGTTTATAAAATTAGTAGGATAAAGTTAACATATACGATATCATTTAGAGGCCTTTCTATAATTTATTTATAGGAACGGTGCAATTCTGTAAAATTTCACCTTTTCATACTTTAAGTGTCTATTAGTTGATTTTCATTTATTACATAATTGCTAAGTAGAAACGAAATGCATATGCCAGTAGCAGCAGTCGCGAAGGAGCTTGGCATCGGTCACTTTAATAAATTGTATTGTGGTCAAGCATTCCACGACCGGCATACATGTACATATTGAACTCTAATTTGAATTTTCAACACCGTCGGCCATTGCTCCTCGCATGCGTTTACACTATGACGCCCACCTATTTTCAGCTGCGCCACGCTTTAATATAAATCTTGTTCCAAAACAAATGCGAATATTGCTCTTCTATTCGATCAAAATATTTACGAATGTCACATTGTAGATGTTACGCAAATAAAATGCTCCACGAACCAGTCTAGAGGGCAAACCAAACAGGACAATGATAAGCGATTAGGTAGGTCAATGTGCCTAATCGAACTGAGATGATAAATAAAAATATTTGTGTAGCTTATCAACTTAATCATAAGTACTTTCGATTAGATAAGGGCAGGAACTAATAGTAATGAAATGTGTCCTCGATTCTTCACCAACAAAATGAAAGCTTGAATCTACGAAGCAACCAAGTACTAAATAACAAACTTCAGTTACTAAATAAATCTACAAAACAACACATGTATCAACATTCAACATGCACCTAATTTTTTTTCATACAATTATCAAAACAATGGTTTCGCTACGTTAGCAACTAATTTTTATGTAAGTAGCTGTTATGACACTAATAAGTACATACATAACCTAATGACCTACTTTCTTAAGTATTAATACATTGTACATTTGAACAGATAGTACACGTTCATATTGGTACAATGTTCGGGCTGCGTTCAGCGCGTGACGTAGATGGTACGATGCATCTATAGCCGAGAGATAACGACAGATAACAACAAATAGTTGTTACATAATGAACTAATAGTAAAATATAACTTGCGTGTTCCAACGACAATAAACTGAGCAATAATAGACAATTACATTTCGTGAAACCACTCGCAAAAGTATGCCAAGAAAACATAGTTGCATAAACTATGCATTATGTATGATGACTACCAAATATTAGAGGATCGTTAGATGTGTACCTGATACAAAACGTATATACTTACTATAAGAGACATTGCGATTGGCTTTCTTCGTAAACAGACAAAAATGTGACGTTATAAATTCGAGCCCACAAGTATGAGTAAGTCAACAAGAATTTTGTGGGGTCCCGTTCCAGGTAGAGACAGCGTTGTAGACAGAAAGACTCACTGACCTTATCAAAGGTGATGACCGGCGCCGCTGACCCTATGGTGCCATCCTTTTTCTTCTCAATCTTGTAGACTATGATGTGATTGTCGCGCACGGTGTGTACGATAAACGCTTTCGAGTCAGGGCTCCAGGCGACGTGCGAAGCGTAGTCAAATTCGATGTTCACACGCAACGTTTTGTGTTCTTTCTGGTTTAGATCCCGAATGTCCCAGAGTATCACGGAGCCATCTGAATACAATACCTATTGGTTATTAAACGCTCTCAGACGGCTCTCATTATTGTTCGCACGTCTGCTACACCAAATTCTAAGAAATACAAAATCAATACCTTTGTGGTCATGGAACCTCTTTAGGTTTGACATCAAGGAGAGCGAAGTCACCCCGAATGCTGTTCGTTACCGTTAATGTACAAATTCTATTGTTCGTGAAAGTATTAAAACGGTGTCAGTGTGTACTGTACGACTGAAATGTCAAATATCTAATATGAATATGTTAATACATAATATGTAGTTCCTACTGGGTTCATTTTGGTATTATACAGTTTTATTATTAAATATCATTTGTTTTCAGATTCAATTACTTTAGTTCTAGTTTTTGTTAGTTATGGACTTATAGCGAATTGATGAGTGAATAAAATCCGTAAGTATCATTTGTAACCAAATTTTTAACCTAGGAACCATTCTGGCAAGAATATAAGTAAGTACCTATATAATCATAAACTACATCGTATGAAAAAGAAGGTTATATGGTTAGATAAATATCTTTTTATATAATAATTGAGGTTTAACCATCTGGGCTTTCCGCGAGAACTAATTATACTTACATTATTATCAATTATGTATGAAGTAGTTCCTTTTAGAATAAGATGTTATAGGGAATGTTTACTTGAATAGTCCTACTTTGTTTTATTTAGATAAAGATGTTCTTGTGTACAAAGTTGGCTTTGTAGTGCACTATCAACGTAGGTAAACGAATTTAGCTTGCAACAATGAACTAACCAGTAAAAGGTCAACGGACCACTTGAGATATCGAAACTGAGTCACTGTATCAAGGCCTTATGACTTCAGGCTCTACGAATCTGTTCCCTACCGAGCGAAACACTAAGAGGCAACAAATTCATGGTTATCTTGACAATACTAAATATAAACTTAGAACGCTTACTTTTAGTTACTATTATAAAACAGCCTTGGGTGTACATAAATAAATATTGTCAATTCAGGAAACGTTTTGAGCAACATTGTTTATTGTAATTGAAAAAACTAACATAGGCACCTGACTTAGTGACCTACACCCGAATAACAGTACAATGTATAAATAAATTGCCAACGCGTGCTCGAGTTGCTTTGAAGCTATGAAACACTGCGCTTTAACAGATGCAGCATAACACCAGTGCATATCCTTGTACCTTGTTAAATAATTCATGTCACGATACTCCGTCTATATTCTATATCCTAGCAATTAAAATATTGACTGAAGATCCGTAATGCTATTTTTTTATTGTGAACGCGTTGAAGTCTTCTCGTTCATTGGCCTTTTCGAGCACCAAAAACTAGGAAGTGTGATAAAACAAGATTAATTTGTATACACATACAATAGTAGTGTTGTATGATTGTTCCATAGGTACATAATTTTGTGTTTATTTAAAATAATCATGACTTCTTGGTTCATACATACATAATGAGCCCACTGATTCTTATCCGAGACAAAAACTCGTCTGTGTCAGTAATACTCGTACCAAATTCAAGGTCCAATGGCATTGTCAGTCTGGTTGAGGCCAGCCACCATCGCGATTCTTTATGTAGGCAGAAGCCAGTTACATACATATGTACCTCTACCAACAAAGCATTAAATTCGTTTAAGATTTCAATCATTTAGTTAAGTGATCACAGACATTACCTTTTGTTTGTGATTCATCGGTTTCGGCACGAGTCACCGTTTTAATGAGTTCACTGACATTCATGTTTTTTTTTTCAAAATCTAGTAAATTCTGGTCATTTAAAAAGTTAGTCTACGTATATTAGAATAGTGTGAGTATAATAATATGTTCACCTTATACAAAGCGCCTATGAATAAAGTATTGCATGGTGAGGTCCACGTAGGCGTGTCGGAGTGTGGCCGGTGACGAAACAACGCCTCATTTTGTGCAAGTAATATTGTGAAAGAGGTACCTATTGACGCGGAGGCGAGTCCAACGACGGCGCCATGGAGGCCACCTCAATGTACTGTCAATACTATTATGCATAAGTCACCTCTACATACGTATAATGTTAAACCAACGACACTTGAATGTTTCTGAACAAAAACTTTACACATGAGCAAGAAATAACAAATACTTAATTACCACCAATTTGTCTAATGACAGTATACGTATCGCCATAACTGAGATTAAGAAAAATATCAATATTCGTAAACACGAAAAAAATTAATAAATATTTACAAATCAATTGAGTGTTAATGTAATAATTAGTTTCTTCGATTGCAATACTAAACACACGTTTATCGAGTTTTCGTACAAAGCTTACGACATAGCGATTGTAACAATCAGACAACACGAACACGATACGGAGGTTACATACAAACGCTGGCGATACCAACATGCCAGTATCATCCGATTGTCCTGATATCAGTATCGGTATCACGGATTCGCACTGTACAATACTTACGTTTCCACCAATCTATTTTTGGCTGTTCCATTCGATCCGGTGCTGACGTGGCACGCCTGTCGTCTGCTCTTTGATGGAACTGGAAATGTTTCGCTCAGCGATAACGCGCGTCATTGTGTTTTTTGTTGATACTCACATCACAAACTGTGCTATCATTCATAACAAACCAGCTGTTATTGTATTCATTTCAAATATTTGACATCATGTCGTAACATTTCGCTCGCCAGATAAATAAAGCATCTTGATGGGAAATATTCAGGAAACTAACGCCCTATTTAATTGTTACACTAAGATTAGATAACAAGGTGTGGGTGGGGGTGCATATTAAGAATATGATGTTATCGATTTAGGAAATCTTTAAAGTATTACACGTTCTTAATGATTAGTGACGTTTGGTGGCCCTGTTTGATTGACTTATTGTTATCTGTGAATATAGCAAGCATTGTAGCGCGTAATATTCACTCGAGTTTGTTGATGTGTGATCTTTTAGTGAATTGAACATAAACGTTTTGGGGGACACTAAACGTAAACACAGCGCTCATACAGACGACCGGGCGAGAGGGCGTTGCTCTTTCTTAGCTGATATACGCAGTATCTTATGTTTTTAAAACGATGTTTTTGATATTTCATAAAATACACTAAACATCTAAACATGATTCAAAGCTGCTGTCTAACCTAAGGATCTATCAGTCTATTGTAAATGTAATGTTCATTGTCCCAACCTAATTACCTTTTTTAAGAATTGGCCATTATTATAGAAGCCATTAGGAAAAAAAATAGACATGTCATACCAGTTTCGTCATTTATTTATATAAGAGTATTATGTAAACTGGCTTTGAGTGCACGGTCACTCAATTATACCTGATTTAATAACCACCTCGTTATAACTAGAGCATCTTATTCCGTGACTTAAAATACTGTATTTAAAAAGTGCGATGATTAATAATGATTCTCATACATCGTCTAGGTCAGGCGATCATTGAACAATTTTTACCGGGAAACCACATCAATGCGCGCTGACTCAGTTATGAAGAATAACAAAATATTAGCTGACGCTGAGACTTTAGTCATCAGGAAAATTACATCATTATTATTTGATGTGTACATGTATATAAATATTGATAATAATCAAGCATCGTAACATTGTCAAGGAAGTTTCGTTTAATAATCATAGGTTTCCTGTGAAACTAAAACTACGTGAGTGTTGCCCCTCATTCATGAATCATTGATAGTATTCTTATTATCTGGCAATCTGGGAATCCCTTACGTCATAAAATGCTTAATATACAATCCCCAGCAGCTACTTATCGTGTCGGATGTATAAACTATTAGTACTTAGGTCTATATCTCGATTAATAATGATAACTGAGTGAAAAACTGTCGAGTTACATAGCATAGCTAGTTCTGGTTACGTAGTGGAGAAACCTAACACAGTGAAAGTTTTTATGGCTCTACCTACATTGACACACAAAACACTACCACAATTTAATCTAACGGATTATTAATGTTGAATGCAAAATGGTGTCACAGTTAATGTTATTCGGCATATTTATTTAAGTTAAGCGAGAATCAGATGCAATTTGTGTGGGTGCATTTGTTTACAAATTATGATGCTATTCTGAAGGAGTGATTAGAGGTGTATTTATTACAGCAGTTTCTATTATTGTTCCTTGTTAATAGAGGTAAGCTGCCAGGAATTAATATGTATTATTGAATTATTTTCATACCATATTTTTAGCAATTAGGAGAAGGATAAAACAAACCAAGTTTTTATGAAAAAATATCACGTTTATTGCTGTAACTGCAATTCGAAGGCACATACTGTTACAGTACGCGCAGCTCCGTCAACGTGACGAATATGTCACTTACAAAATTCCGTTCGCACAATATAATTAGTCATGTCCATAGAACAGTCGTCTTACACTTAACACAATATCTAAGCACCACTAATTAGCGGATCGTACGGCTGTAGTATAGGGTGTTGATGTGAAGCACGTACACGGCTTGCTCGTTCTTCGTGTACTTTCAGTAGCACTAAATCTAGCGCCGCTCGTGCGTCCTCCACGGGCGAGTGACCAGCGCTTCCGCACTGGACCATGCGACCCAGCACCTCCTCGGAGAGAGCCCGCAACGATCTTCGCATTGGAAAGCCTCGAGGATGAGGATACATTGCACACGTATCCACCACTGCGCCGTGTAATAATTTTAATGCTCGTAGGTCATTCTCGAGGGCATGACCGATCAGGATCGTGTCAGTACCCACAAATCCAAGTATATCATTTTGTACGTCTCTCAACGTCTTGGTCGCGCGCGCCAAGTCGCGCGGCCTGATGCCCGAGAAACGAGTATTGGGATCCACAACAGGTGAACTCGGTTTCACAAATGATTTGTATACAAGTCGTCCATCAGCGGCGATGACCGCAACACAAGCTAATTCCAAGCCTGCAGTTGTGTAACACATTTCGGTATCCAAGGCGTAAACACCACCGCGAGGCGAACGGGCTCGTACGTATCCTTCAAGAGGCCCATTCATTCCAGGCCGAGTGCCACTCCACACATGAAAACGGGCTACACTGCAGCCTTTAGAACCCACTAATGACTTGCAACACAAGTAACGACTATCACCACTCACACGTCCCCAATGATAAATACAGGTCTCATCTTTGGTATATTCACCATCGCGAGTCATGCGAAATTGT